GTCTGGACTGGTTATAGAACTAAGTAATTGTTACTTTGTGCCTGCTATAAGCAGAAACATCATTTCTATTTGGGGTAATCGCATAAAAATCCCGAACTTTTACAAAAATCCCACATAAATACCCAAACTATATAATTGTCATATAAATACCTGAACTTTTCACAACCCCCATATAAATACCCAGACTTTTAATTTTTTTTCCAAATCAAACATCCGTCCGTTAACAACGTCAATTTCAATCCAAAAAAATGATGAGTTAGCAAAAAAAGTGATGAGTCAGCATTAAATATTTTATATGCGATGACTCAGCATTAAACATCCAAATATTTTATATGCACTTAGTATTTCTTTTTTAAATTGTTATAAAAATCTATACATTTTAAATAAAAAATATATTAAAATACATTTTAAAATATTTAAATTTAAAACTATAAAAAAAATTAAATTTAAATCTTAAAATAAATATAAAACTTAAAAAGATTTTAATTTTAATTTTTTATAATATTTATAAAAATTTTAAATATTACAAAGAAATGAATTGATATAGATATTAAATTTAGATATGAAAATATTTATATAGATTCTATATCTAAAAATATTTACAATTAGTAAAATGTATTTAATTTTAAATACCCTTTTATAAATTAATTAATTTTTTACAATTATAAATTATGTATTTTGTTGAAAGTTTATCCATTAAGTAATGATTTTTTTTTATTGTAGACATTAAATAATAGCGTTAAACAATTTTTTGGATATATAAAATTGAAAAGAATTAATTTCAATAAAATATTATTGTATTTTCTTTTATTATTTAAGAAAGATCGAATTTTATTTTTAAATTAAACTAAATTTAAATTGGAATAAAAATAGAAATGATTTTAACAAAAATTAAATCACATAAACTTTCAACAAAATTCAAAAATACATAATTTATAATTGGATAAAAATTAATTAATTTATAAAAAAGTATTTAAAATTAAATACATTTTACTAATTGTAAATATTTTTAGATATAGAATTTATATAAATATTTTCATATTTAAATTTAATATCTATATCAATTCATTTCTTGTAATATTTAAAATTTTATAAATATTATAAAAAATTAAAATTTAAATCTTTTAAGTTTTATATTTATATTAAAATTTTAATTTTAATTTTTTTATAGTTTTAAATTTAAATCTTTTTAAATGTATTTTAATATATTTTTTATTTAAAATGTATAGATTTTTATAATAATTTAAAAAATAAATACTAAGTGGATATAAAATAAGGAGATTCACATATTAAATACTAAACTTTAACTAAACTTCCAAATTAAATACTAGATTATCTGATTTCCAAATTAAAATATAAACTATATTTAAACTCTCAAATAAAAACTGAACTTTCTAAATATTAACATATTCCTAAATCTGAACTAACGGAATATAACGGCGTTAAATTTAGATGATGTGGATATGATGTGTAATGCCACGTCAGATACTACATAATTTTTTTTAATTTGTTTTTATAATTTCGGTTTAATTAGTTAAAGAAAATCGGTTTAATAAAAAAAACCGTAACAAATTAACTTAACCTAAATAACGCGTGCTTAACCTAATTCGTGTTTTGCTCTTTCACAGAAATCGTGTCGCCGACCGTTAGAGAGAACCAGTCGCCGAGACATATTCGTGGCCGGCGAGACACCGTCGCAGCGGTATATTTGGGTTGAAGGTTGTCGTCGAGGTAAGGAAACCCAACTTTCTTTGTTGTATAGAAATCGATTTCTAGGGTTTACGTTTTGAGGGATTTTTGTTTTGTTGACGTTGAGTGATTTTTGTGTTGAAATTGATTTCTACGGTTTTGAATATCGTCCAAATCGAAAAAGACCCAATTTATACTTTGTTTTACAGAAATATTTTAGGGTTTCACTGCAAGCTTTCGATTTATAGTGCTCTATAGTTTGGGTTTTGTATAATCCCAAGTTAATGCAATATTTTTTACATATGTTGTACAGGAATCTTAGTAGGATTCGAATCCTAATCCAAATTCCAAACTCTTGCAACCTGAATTAAAAAATGGGGTAAGTTTTGTCGATTATTTAGTGAGTTATGTTGGTTTAAGTTTGAGTTGTCATATTTATATGTTTTTAACATGTTTTTCCATGAAGTGCGGTTAAACTTAACATTCACATGGGAGGTAAGATGACGATTGTAAATGAAGAATGGTGCTATTTGGGGGGATTTGTGAAAGAAGGAATGGAAATAGATCCGGATGTGTTGTCGTGGTTTGTTTTTGAAGGGTTGATGATGAAGAATAAGCTTTCAATGTCAATCTCACAAATGTGGTATAAATTACCACATCAACCATTGAGTGAAAGGAAGCTAATCAAGGATGATATTGACGGTGGAATAAACAAAATGTGTGAAGTAGCCATGTTATATGGAGAAGTAGATATATATATAGAAAATGAGTTGTCAGATGTTGCAAGGAATATAAATCCTTCAGATGAAGAGAATGATGATAGTGTAGGAGAAAAAATGGATGAGGCTACGAACGATGAGGTAGAAGAAAATGATGGAGATGGAGCAGAAAGTTTAGCTCGTAGGATGGAAGAGTTGGCTTTTGAAGCAGAAATGGGTATCCGATCAAGTATGTTACCAATACAACCAGTGGAGTATGTGAGTGATGAAGGAGTTGACAATGACAGACAATTACCGGACACTCCTTTAAACACGGAAGATGAGTGGAAGGAGTTCGAAAGAATAGATAAAGAGAAGAGATCACCTAGGAGTAAATACGTCCCCGGGGATAATACCGAACACCTTTATCTTGGTCAAACATTTCATTCAGGTGAAGAGTTTAAGGCTGCCTTATTTTCATATGTGTTGCATACTCAATCCAATATCAGAATGTCTTTATGGGGAGCAAAGAGATTTGGTGCTATTTGTTGTGAAGAAGGTTGTCCATGGAGAGTTTATTGCTCAATTGAAGTCCCCATCCAAAAGTGGATGATAAAAGTATACAAATCTGATCATAATCACGAGCCACATGGACACTCACAGTTTGTGACAATGAGACACATTGCGGCGATGTTTTCTGAAGAATTTAGAAGAAACCCATCTTATCCCGCTGCAAAGATTCAGTATTATTTGAAGAAGGATTGGGGGTTGATTGTTCCTCTAAGCAAATGTTTTAAAGCACGTCAAATTGGGTTGAACATGGTTATGGAGGATCAACAGGTTCAGTTTGCGAAGTTGTGGGATTACGAGAATGAACTCCTTAGGTCTAACCCAAACAATACCGTAGAAATCGGTACATGTCCTGGTCCTCATGAAGGTGAGCAGTATTTTGATAGAATGTATGTTTGTTTTGCTGCATTACGTGAGACATGGAAGAAATCTTTGCGTCCCGTTATTGGATTAGACGGATGTTTTTTAAAGTGAGAATTGAAAGGAGAGTTGCTTGCTGCCATGGGAAGGGATGCGAATAACGGTATTTACCCCATTGCATGGGCAGTCGTTCGAATAGAGGAATATGATACTTGGTCGTGGTTTATTCAGAAATTGAAGGATGACTTATGCCTGGGGCAGGGTGAAAATATAACTATTATATCTGACAAACAGAAGGTAACTTTTCTGCACTCCACTCAACTTGATTTTATTGAAGTGTTGTATGTAAATGATGTAATTTTTCTGATCTATTGGTTTTACAGGGCTTGGTGAATGCAGTTCACTCAGACTTACCACTTGCTCATCATCGGATGTGTGCGAGACACATATACGCGAATTGGAAGAAAACTTTCAAGGGTCTGAAGGTTTTATTCTACAAAATTGCTAAATCTTATCATGAGAGGGATTACGCACATCAAATGGAAGAGTTGAGAAAAATAGATCCTCTAGCGTATGATGCCTTGGTTCGAACACAACCAGAACAATGGAGTAGAGCATTCTTCCTGTTGGAATCTCGATGCGATGACGTACAGAATAACTTGTCGGAGAGTTTCAACAGTAGCATAAAAGATGCACGGATTAGACCAATTATAGACATGTTTGAAGAGATTCGAAGGCAAACTATGGGTCGTATAGCAAAGAGGGCTATAGAAACTGCTAAGTACATCCCAGAATTCCCTCCACGCATTCTTACCACCATAAGAAATGCTCAGAATCTTTCTCGGAATTGCAGTTGGATAACAAGTGGTAACGGAAAGTACGAAGTTACTGAGTTTGGGATCTGTTATGCAGTTGACTTGCATAGAAAGAGTTGCGCATGTCGAAAGTGGGATCTATCGGGAATTCCATGTCAACATGCCATTACTGTTATCAACGGCAAAAGAGAGAAACTATCCAACTATGTGTCTGAATACTATTCAAAAGCGAAATGGCAAGAGACTTATCAACAGAATCTGTTGCCTGTAAATGGTGAGCCCATGTGGAAAAAAGTGATAAAGTTTCCAATTACAGTGCCGTCGAAAAGAGTAATGCCCGGGCGACCAAAGAAGTTTAAACGAAAGAAAGATGCACACGAATCTCCTACGAAATCGCAACACATGACACGACATGGAAGGAAGATATCATGCAGTCGATGTAGAGAAAGTGGACACAATGTACGTAGCTGCAATAATGAATCATTACAAGTACAAGGCCCGAAAAGGAGGAGAGGTCGACCCAAAAAATCTCAGGTACAGATTCATCTTTATGCACAAATGTTAATTTCGCTATGTTACTTAATCCATTTCATTTTCATGCTAGGGGCTAATGCCTAGTAATTCCACATTCTCCGAAACCTCCCAAATTGCGGAGAATGCTCGAACCACTCAACCAAGTCAACAAAGTGAAGCTCGACCACAAGCTTCAAGTTCAGCTCGTCCGTCAACATCTACACGTCTTGGAAGTTCAACACGACCACATACTTCGTCTCGTACGCTTTGTCTCAACCGTCCAGCACGTTCTCAAAGTTCGATGATCTATTTATCTCCACACACTGGTAGACCATTCCAAGCTCCGAGGAGAGAACGTCCATCCGAGCCATCCCACTGAACATGATCCTTTCTGTTGGAACCTTTCTTATGCATATGCATAGCACTGTTTTGGTTATTATGGGCCCTTTCTGTAGGAACCTAATGTTGGAACATATTTTTTGATAAGTATGGATCCTTTCTGTTGGAACGGAACTTATATCCGAACCTATTTTGCATATGAATCCTTTTTGTTGGAACCTAATTTGAAGATCTCATTTACTAATGGATCCTTTCTATAGGAAATAACTTATTCACTGTTTAAGCGTATTTAGGTGGGTTCTCTTCGACGTCGTTGTATGTTTCGACTTGTAACCATACTTGCTAAATGGTTTTTTTGTACATTTGCTCCAATTTAGGTTAAATTTCTATATTTGGTTTATTAAAATTTATCTAAATTGATGTTTCTTAACCGATTAAACCAGATTTATAAAAAAGTCACATTTGGAAAGTTCAGATTTATAAAAAAATTAGATTTATGATGTGGCATTACACGTCATAGCCACGTCATCTAAAATTAACGCCGTTATGTTCCGTTAGTTCATATTTAGGAATATGTTAATATTTAGAAAGTTCAGTTTTTATTTGAGAGTTTAAATATAGTTTATATTTTAATTTGGAAATCAGATAATCCAGTATTTAATTTGGAAATTTAGTTAAAGTTGAATATTTAATATGTGAATCTCCCTATAAAATATTTGGATGTTTAATGCTGAGTCATTGGCATATAAAATATTTAATGTTTATTCATCACTTTTTGTGCTGACTCATCACTTTTTTGGATTAAAATTGACGCTGTTAACGGACGGATGTTTGATTTGGAAAAAAAATTAAAAGTCTGGGTATTTATGTGGGAGTTGTGAAAAGTTCAGGTATTTATATGACAATTTTATAGTTCGGGTATTTATGTGGGATTTTTGTAAAAGCGAGTATTTTTATGCGATTATCCCTTTCTATTTCCTGTTTGGATTTGGATGGTTTCCGGTTTATTATTGAGAATAAGAACCTGATGATGTTCAAAGACGATATCTATTATGGTAATGGTTACCTTGTGAATGGATTGTATGTCTTGAACGATCAACCTTCCGATTCCATGTCCGTGCATAACGTAAATGCGAAGAGGTTTAAGCCGAACAACTTAAACCCGACCTATCTCTGGCATTGCCGTTTGGGCCACATCAATGAGAAACGCATACAGAAACTCCTCTCCGAAGGATTTTTGGATTCTTTCGGTTATGAATCGATTGAAGCATGTGAATCTTGTCTGATGGATAAAATGGCAAAGTCTCCTTTTAGTGGAAAAGGAGAACGGGCGTTGGAGTTATTGGACCTAATACATAGCGATGGATGTGGGCCCATGAGCTTACCCGCTAGAGGAGGTTATTTGTATTTCGTCACATTTACTGATGATTTCAGTAGATTCGGTTATGTCTATTTGATGAGACATAAGTCTGAAACTCTTGAAATGTTCAAGGCTTTCAAAAACGAAGTACAAAACCAGCTTGGCAAGACTATTAAGGCATTGCGATCGGATCGCGGTGGCGAATATATGAGCCAAGAGTTCACTGACTATCTGGTAGACTGTGGAATTGTTTCACAGTTTACCCCTCCTGGAATGCCATAGTGGAATGGCGTGTCTGAACGGAGGAACCGCACCCTATTAGATATGGTACGGTCTATAATGAGTCAGGCTGATCTTCCAAAGTCTTTCTAGGGTTACGCCTTAGAGACTGCTGCTTTCATACTGAACAAGAGTCCAACGAAAACAGTTCAAAAGACTTCATATGAGATATGGACAGGGAAGCGTCCTAGTGTGTCTTTCTTGAAGATTTGGGGATATGACGTTTACGTGAAACGTCAGGCTTCTGATAAGCTATCCCCAAATCGGACAAATGTTTGTTTGTAGGATACCCTAAGAAAACTAAGGGGTACTACTTCTACAACCCGGTCGAGAATAAAGTGTTTATTGCTCGAAACGGGAAATTCCTGGAGAGAGAGTTTGTCTCTAAGGGAATTAGTGGAGTAGAATTGATCTCGAAGAAGTTCGAGAACTACAGACAGATGCTGGACCGAGTGAGCAAGTTGAAGATGTTTAAACTGCATCACAAGGACTTAAGACTCCGCCTGATACTTGTGAACCTCGGAGATCAGGGAGAGTTCGCCTAGAGCCTATGAGATTTGGATTTCTCGTGACTGGTAGTGATGAACTCATGTTATTGGAATATGACGAGCCTACATCATATCCAGAGGCTATGGCGAGTTCCGACTCTGAGAAATGGTACGAGGCTATGAAGTCTGAGATGCAATCCATGTACGACAACAAAGCATGGACTTTGGTCGATGCATCCGAAGGGGTAAAACCCATAGGATGTAAGTGGGTTTTCAAGAAGAAAACCGACATGGATGGCAATGTGCATACTTATAAGGCACGATTGGTGGCGAAAGGGTTTCGGCAAATTCATGGTATTGACTATGATGAAACCTTCTCGCCCGTCGTGATGCTTAAATCCATCAGGATTCTGCTTGCCATAGTTGCATATTATGACTATGAGATATGGCAAATGGATGTCAAGACTGCATTCCTTAACGAGAGCCTACTCGAGGATGTGTATATGATACAACCCGAGGGTTTTGTCGATCCAGAGAGTCCGGGGAAGGTGTGTAAGCTTCAGAGGTCCATTTATGGACTGAAGCAGGCTTCAAGAAGTTGGAATCTTCGATTTGATGAGACAAACAAACAGTTTGGTTTCTCTCAAAAAGAGGATGAGCCATGTGTTTACAAGAAGGCTAGTGAGAGCACGGTTGTTTTCCTGGTGCTATACGTGGATGATATCCTGCTCATAGGAAACGATGTTCCTACCTTGTAAGACGTTAAGTCTTGGCTAGGAACACAGTTCTCTATGAATAACTTAGGGGAAGTTGCCTATGTCCTAGGCATCAAGATCTATAGAGATAGATCTCGAAAGCTTCTTGCCTTAAGTAAAAGTACATACATCGACAAAGTTCTGAATCGGTTCAGAATGAAAGAGTCGAAGAGAGGACTCTTGCCGATGTGTCATGGTGTTGTTCTCAGCAAGACTCAGTGTCCTAAGACACGTGATGAGCGAGAACGCATTGATAGGATCCCATATGCCTCGGCAATAGGATCTATCATGTATGCCATGTTATGTACTAGGTCGGATGTATCGTACGCGTTAAGCATTACGAGCAGATACCAGTCGGATCCAGGAGAGTCACACTGGATCACGGTCAAGAATATCCTTAAGTACTTGAGAAGGACTAAGGATTTATTCTTCATATATGGTGGATTGGAAGACGAGCTCGCTGTAGAGGGTTACACCGATGCTAGTTTTCAATCGGACCAAGATGACTACAGATCGCAATCAGGCTATGTCTTCTGCTTGAATGGAGGCGCTGTTAGTTGGAAGAGTTCCAAACAGGCCACCATAGCAGATTCTACTACAGAGGCTGAGTACATTGCCGAATCGGATGCAGCGAAGGAAGCTGTTTGGATTAGGAAGTTTTTGGGTGACCTGGGCGTTATTCCTAGCGTCGTGAACCCCATTTCATTATACTGTGATAACAATGGGGCGGTAGCACAAGCTAAGGAACCTAAGTCACACCAACGATCCAAACACATACTCAGACGGTTTCACCTCATAAGGGAAATCGTAGATAGAGGCGATGTGCACATATGCAAGATATCGACGGATGACAACATAGCCGATCCCTTGACGAAGCCTCTCCCTTCATCAAAGCATGAGGGTCATGTTCGGGGAAGGGGACTTAGATGCATTGTAGATCATACTTAGAGCAAGTGGGAGACTGATGGATGTGATGCTGTAGGATGATCATACGATATGAGAACTATGTATGATACGATGTATTTATTGGATGAATACATTGTTTGTTCATTATTTATTTTGCATATATGATAAATAATGACATCCATGGATCATTATGAACGATCCTAAATTCCTTAGTCACTTGTCATTGTGGGAGCAAAGATGAATTAAGACTAACATGAGGCGTGATGGATGATCATAGTGATGATCATGAGTATTGGATACGGATCACGGTCATGAGTACTTGTTTGGAACAAGTGACTGGATGACTCGCGTGAGATTGTCGATTGGATTTAATCCATTACTTGAATCTCACTTGATGGTTCACTTTAGATCCTCAGACTTGAGATATCTATTGTATCCATCATGACGAGTAATGTATTTACTGCGTCAAACGTCGTCTTTAACCGGATGATTATAAAGGCATGGCTCGGGTACATTACGAATCATGTAGTGGATAATAGATAGTTGAGATGGAACTTTGTCCCTCTCGAAAGAGAGAGATATCGCTTGGGCCCGTCGTAGGAGTAAGACTGTAGAAATGTGTTGCCGCACTATAGATGAATGTCATCTATCTCTTACAGTCTACTTGGGATACGACAAAGCATTCGAACTATAATTTCGATTATGATATCGTGAGACAAAGAAGATCATCT